GCAGGTATCCCACAAGGCCGTGGAGACAGGGCCTCTATAGGCTTAAAGCCAGACAAAATTTCCATGTCAAAGAGCTGATAGGTGATAGATCAGCTTACCTATGGTACCTTTTAGTTTCCACAAAGTATGTAACACTGTATATCACTGAATTAAATGCAAATACTAAAAAGCCAACTTGCTGTCTGTCTGCAGCCTTTTATTTCACCAAGCAACTACTAAAAGCCAATGATTTACTCTTGTCTCACTTTGTTACTCGCTTCAGTCTCACTGCCATGATGACCGCAGAGGCAGCTGAGCCCAGCTATGGTGCTCGCTAGCCCGGCTATGATTCTGGAACACCACAGGCGCAACTCCTCTCCCCAGGCCTGAAAAATATTCTCCCCTTGACTTGTACAAAGCTCTTTACTAGCAGTGTAAACACCAACACTTCTCCCGGTGCTCCAAACTCCTAGTCCTGGCAGCACAGATAACTGAACTAACCAATTGATGGCAGTTAACATTACAGATAGCAGCAGTTAGAAGTAAGCAGTTAGTGTTACTTTAGCAACAAGTAAAGCTTTCTGTGTCATGGCTGAGGCAGAGGACACCAGAGAATTCCAGAAAATATGATCCAACATAGATAAGGGTGCGTGATAGTGATGTGTCGGTTGCGAATGAGCTGGTTCCCATTCGCACGCCGTTTTTTTTTTTTTTTTCTATGGGTTTAGTATAAAAGGCCAGAATGATATGGATTGACTCTCATGCTACAGGGTGCTCCATGCATGCAGTTGGGGCGGCTTTTATTTTGTCCAGGGCATGGGCATTAACAAAGCAAAGTGTTCCTTTTAAAAAAAATTATGCTTAAATCTTTAACAGGTTTTCTATCTGCTTTGTGTAGCAGAGTGGTTCTACAAGCAAGTTAGTCCATTCATTGGGTGGTTTCAGAGAGTTACAAGGATCTGTAAATGGAATGAAAACAATTGGCTACAGCAATTTATTGATATTAGAAAATGTAATTTTTACTTTTGAATACTTCATTATAAAGGACGTATTGAATAATTTAAGTGATATATGTGTACACATACAAATCATAAGTCAAAACAACGCTAAATTTGGCTGAATTATAAAAGGTATAAGTGGTAAAATGAAGAGCCATTTGGGAGCCGAAAGAGCCAGCTCTTCTTGGTGAGCTGAGCCAAATAATGTGGCTCACTAAAAAGAACCGGAATTCCCATCACTAGTGTGTGACAAGAGAGCCAGTCAACCCAGGTTACAGTGCAAGAAGAGGCGTACGGGGCACAGAGTGGGAATAACAGAGCACCATTTAACCTATTACAACTCATCATCAAAATGATCCTGAAGATGTTATTTTAAAGTGGTCTCATGGTGATGAAACCTAATGATTGCTTGAGTTTTCATCTAACTGGTGCTACCAGCTATCTAGTGAAATATGGTTCCCATTGGATTGTTTTTACCACCAGTAGCACTATGTTTTCAAGAGGGAGTCCTTGTTTTGTTAGTATCTCATGCAAGTGTGCAAGTACATTGTGATACTGACATTGATAACATGCCAAGAAATGTAGCTACCTCTGTTTTTTGCTTTTTTTTTTTGTTTTATGCTTGGCAGCCATACTTCTGTCCAAAAGTACCACTGAATCGGGTTTCTGTCCTTTTTACGATTAAGTGCAAATAAATCAGTGAATCTTTCAGCTTCCCTCCATCCAACCAGCCAGCCTGCTGACCTCAGTATGTGCACCTTGATATTGTCAGGTGATGCTGTGGGTGGTGGCATCGTTGCTGACACTGGTGGAAGATGTGTTTTCTGAGGATGAGAATAAAGAAGTTCAGACAGATCTCAAGGGTGTCCTCAGGCATACCTCCTGGTCTCCTGCAGAGGAACTAGAACAGGGCCGAGTCCACACACCCTGGTCTGGAGCTGTTGGTAAGTATTTCATGTTCTTGTTTCATCAGCAAGGTCTCAGCACGGCTACAATCTACTTGGTATTGTTGTTGTACTAATATTTAGCTTATTATTAGCATAGATAACCTAAATATCACCTCCCATTTGGGGACAAAAGCGGGTTTACACAAGGTTAACCACAAAATATTAGAGTTAAAACCCAGTGTTAGTCTTCAAATAACATCTTTGTTCACATGTCTGTTAGCTTCATGGTAGTCATATATATGAAGTTCACTGCTACTAGATGTGGCACCAGCATCTCAGACCAAAACAATGCACAAATACAGTGCTACAGCTGACCATACTCCCTTGCCCAGTGGCAACACAAAATATTTTCTTCTGGCCATGTTACACTGGCTAATTGCAGGGATACAGTCCTACACTTTTATAAGCTTCATGAGGGCACTCTTCATTCTTCAGTCTTCTTTTTCATCCATCATTGTAACCTTACTTACTTTTTGTGCAGCTAAGACGCTGAAAACATAGCTTCATAAATCTGAAATGGAGGCCATAAAATAGCAGCATGTCACTCCTGGATGATTAATATAGCCTCTGGAAATTTGCCTGGTAGTTTTCAACACTGAGTATGACCTTGGTCGACTGAGCGAGGGCCCCTGTGTGTAACAGGATAAAAATAATCAGTTCAACCTGCAGGTTTCTGTCATGCATCACAGTCCTGTTCATCACAGCTAGCACAGAAATTAGATGAAAGAATGTGGATTGTGTGTCTGTTTATTCTACCAGTCAGCAGTCTTGGTAAATGGACCTGTACTTGTATAGCGCCTTTCTAGTCTTCCGACCACTCAAAGCGCTTTTTACACTATGTGCCCCTTTCACACCACATCTCCACTCCCAGTGATCGCAAAGCCCATCGAGACAGGAAACTAAGCTCATTCCAGTCACACATTCACCAGCCACCCGCAATGCCGTAGTGCATCCAGGAGTGGCCAAATTGGGGTTCAGTAACTTTGGCTCAGAGGCATACTTCGACGCACGTGGCCAGGAGGAGCCGGGGATCGAACCAACGACCTTCTAGGCGATTAGGGGAGCAACCCGCTCTGCCTCTGAGCCACCAGCCACAACCCCTGCCTTGGTAATCCTGATGAATAATGACCTAGATCAAGTAATAAACAAATTTCATGCATCCGTTCGCTTCCGCGTTTTGCTTGTCGTCTCTGTTCCTCTCCTCTGTGCTCCTGTCTCTTTTCCTCTCGCGTCGTGTCCTCTGTCCTATCTATCTCGTCTCGCTCTCCCTCTCTCCTCTGTCTCTCTCTCCTCGTGTCCTGCCATCCAGTCCTCTCGTCAGCGAAAGCCGAACTGGGTCGAGGCAGGACAGAGCCCAACGCCACTAGAGAGGGGTCGCGTCCCGACGGTTTTCTGTGTCTCGTTAACAAGGACGTTTTTTTCTTGCCGCCCGTCGAACCAACAGTTCCGCTTGCACCGAAAAACATTGTGAATGGTGGGAAACCTGCGTTGGGTTCCTGTAAGTAATGCTATACAGGAGTCTCGGTCCGAGACCTGAAATACCAGAACTGAATTGCGAATTGAATGTGCACGCGGTGGCTTCAGGTTTGCTAGTGACGTCACCAGAGAAGAGTTGTTCAGTACTGCTTTCCCCAGTCTGCTGAGTTTGGGAAATGGAGTTGCAAGTTCAGTTTAGATTCCCAACAGTTAAGAATTCTTCATGTTGGTATACGCCAGATTCAGTAACAGAAGGTTATCTCCCAGGACCAACGTTTTTCAAATAGGAGCAGGTCAGACCCCGAACTCGCTTATAACATGTTATTTGAACGGAGCGACCAGGGAGGGAGGTGTACCACCAATGAGCGAAGCGCTTGGGGCCAAGCGGGGCGGCACAGGAAACAAACCTGCCTTTTAAGAGGCAGAAGACCTAGGACACGACCCCTGGTGGGTCGGCCTCGGTAGGTGGGTGTCGTCTGGCCTCGGACAGGTTGGGTGAGAGAGGAGAGGAGAAGAGAGAGCAAAAAGAGAGAGACGACAGACAGAGCAGACAGCACAAGTACAGACCGAGGACCAGACAGACAGACCATGCAGGTACACAGCAACAACCCACGTCCAGCCAACCAACTATAGTACGGGACTTGATGACTGAACGATGACAAAGATGACTGGCGACGAGCAACCCAACCACATGGGGGGACACAATGAGTCAGTGGTTTGATCAGTAATAACCACGTGAGTCTAGTGAGTGAATAATACCGATGAGTAAAGTCCAATAATACAGTCAGAAAATAAATATCGCAGTAAGTATTCGAGGCGAATGGGAGTGCAAAAAGGAACCAACATGTGGCGGCAGAGGCTGCCACCGAAGATCCGTATCGCAGAACTGCAAGATGCAGAGAAGCAGCAAGGGACGTCCAAAAAGGGCAAGCAAATGAAAGTTAGTAACATCCGCCATGTGACCCGTGTGGGAACCATGATGCGTGCAGAAAGGAGAGGCGAGAAGGAAAGAGAGGAACTCCCAGTGCATGCAGTGGGAACAATCCCCGATAGTCTAGGCCTACACTAGCAGCAATACTCAATAGGGATGCGTAAGCAAGGACCCACCTGACCAGCCCTAACTTAACTTTATCAAAAGAAGGAACGTTTACAAGGCCCTACTCTTAAAATGTGGACGAGGGTGTGTTTGCTCCCGAAGACCAGCACCTGGAAGGCTTGGTTCCACGGAGAGGAGCCCTTGGTAACCTGAAGGCTCTGCCTCCTGTTTCTACCTTTTTGGACCTATCACGAACCACAAGTAAAGCCCCTCGGCATTTCCAGAGAACGGCAAAGTGGTTCTAGGAGCGGTAATGAGAGTACGGGAGGTCTGCTTTATGTGGGAATTAAATGACAAATCCTGATCAAAGATAACTCCAAGATTCCTGACAGTGGTGCTAGAGGCCAAAGTAATGCCATCTAGAGTAACTATATCTTTAGACAGTGAGTCTCTGAGGTTTTTGGGGCCAAGTACAAGAATTTTGTTTTTTTCTGAGTTTAAAATCACTTCACACACATTGAACTTTTTAAAAAATGACCTCATGACCTTTCCTCTAGCCCCAACTTCAGGACAAATTTTACATGTTCAGCTCTGTTGCTGGTGGATGTTGTGAGGGTGTCTGTCCCCTGTCAAGACTTTATACTCTTGTCTTCCGTCCTCAGATGGTGTCCACCAGGTGATGGCCGTCTGCTTGCTGCGTATCTCCATCATCACTGACGACATGTTGACCAACAGCGTCACCGTCAGGTTGGATGACATGTCTCTACAGCGCTTCCTGTCCCCTCTGTTGTCTCTGTTTGTGGATGCTGTGGCCAGCGTCCTCTCCACCCACCGAGACCACGTCTTCCTCTTTAACATCCAGAATGACTCCTCGGTGGAGGGAAACGTCCTAAACGTGACGCTTTCTATCCTGCTGCCATCTGAGGACCACAATGCACTGGGAGGTGGTTTCTTGTCCTCTGAGGCACTGCAGGAGCAGATCTACCTGAACCGGACCCTGTTGGCGCTGCTGTCCAATCAGAATGTGCTGCCGTTTGACGATAACATCTGTCTGCGCGAGCCCTGTGAGAACTACATGAAGTGCGTGTCGGTGCTGAGGTTCCACAGTACGGTGGCGTTCGCGGCATCCAACACGCTGCTCTTCAGATCCATCCAGCCAGTCGGGGGGCTGAGGTGTCGCTGCCCTCCAGGTTTCACCGGAGACAACTGTGAGACAGAGATCAACCTGTGTTACTCCTCGCCGTGTTTGAATGGAGGAACGTGTCACCATACAGAGGGAGGATTCAACTGCCAGTGTCCTCAGAGATACAGCGGTCAGTCTGATACATCTGTCTATGGAGGGAAATGTCTCTCTGGACTTCTGTTTAATCTTTTGTCTCTGTCCAGGTGAGCGCTGTGAGGTGGACTCTGGGTCTGGACGCTGTGTCTCAGGTGTGTGTAAGAATGGTGGCAGGTGTGTTAACCTGCAGGTAGGTGGGTTCATGTGTCGATGTCCCGACGGAGACTTTCAGACGGCGTACTGTGAAGAGACGAGTCGAAGCTTCACAAGACGATCCTTCGTCACCTACAGAGGCCTGAGACAAAGATTCCACTTCCACCTGTCCTTCAGGTGTGTGTTGCAGATTCATTGTTGATTGAATAATTGACCCTTCCTCGTTCCACCCCTTTAAAAGATAAAAGAGACATGTATATAGTCTTAAGTTAGGTAATGTTGGCTAACAAGCTAGCTAACTACATTTATAACTAACTTAGGGGCGGGATATAGAAAGGGTCAAATGATCAATGATTTAGTTGTGAATATGATTTTATGAATCCATTCTGGTCGAGTTTAATAAAATCAAAGCTGCAGTGGTTTATTATATTCAAAACAGGAAGTGATGTGATGTGTTAAATAGAGGTGACAGGAAGTTATGTGGTTCTGTCCTGATTTCCTGTTTCTATGCAGTCTGCTGTCTAACCTCTGACTGCAGACCTTCACTACATCCTTTTATCTCTTTCTTTCCAAATTCCTTCTCTTCCTGAACTCAGCAGAACTGTTTCACTTCCTGTCATTTATGTTCACTGAGCTGATTTGAGTCAGTGTCCAGACTGTACTATGCCGTATACAAATCACCCATCAGGCCACGAACGGCCATTCGTGGCAGCGCATTAGTTTAAAGTCAAGATGAACACATTATTAATTCATTCGTTATCTTGAGAAAACAAACTTTGTTATCTCGAGATAACAAATTAATAAGTCGTTATCCCAAGATAACAGTGCATAAAAAAAAAATCCATGGCCGTTCTCAGCTTCCGTAGTTATGGTACATTGTTGATGTATGAATTATGAATTCTATATGTGATGGTATATATTACATAGCCCAGAATCAGAGCCTTGATTCATTTTTCCCCAGGATGGACAGACATGCAGTATTTGTTCTGTTACATGTCGTCATATTGTGTCAGGTTTGTGACCAGAGACAGAAACGCTCTGCTGTTGTATAATGGACGATTCAATCAGAAACACGACTTCATTGCTGTGGAGATCATCGACGAACAGATTCAGCTCAGCTTCTCTGCAGGTAGAAATTCTTCTTCATCACCTTCATCTTCGGTTCTGGAGATCGGTTTTATTCAGCTGCTTATCATTAGTTATTCAAATGAATTCAGTTTCATTTAAGTCTCTGAGGACATTGAGGACACAATGGCTAAATTACCTCAATAAAAAGTAAAGCATTAATTTTCACCTAACAGATGAAAAATTTGTGATTAACCTTTATTAAAATATTAAAGCCAATATAATCAATATTTACGTCAAAAAAGTAAGCTGACAGTGTGTTGGGTGTGTCTGATAGTGAATTATCTGCTGAATCTGCAGCTTCCCTTGAGTCAGCAAATGAAAAATGGTCCAGAGACCGATTGTGATTTTGATATTTAATGTGTGAAGTTCTCACTGAAGTACTCACTTCTTCCTGTGTTGCACTCGATAAACCTGCAAGCAGTAAATACACTTGGGAGATGTCAGTATCAAAGTCAGTTCAGTGATAGTTGTCAGTACATTCAGTGGTACACACACAAGACCTTTAACGTTACGTTTTCAAAAATACTACATAATAATAATATAATAACACTTTAAAATCAAGCCTACTGCGGGCCAGTGCAGGTTAGCTAAAATTAAAATTATATTTCTCTGTGTAGGTGAAAACAGGACCTCTGTGGAGACGTTTGTGGTGGGCGGAGTCAGTGACGGAGAGTGGCACACAGTTCACCTGCACTACTACAACAAGGTCAGTACTTACACTACAACAAGGTCAGTACTTACGCTACAACAAGGTCAGTACTTACGCTACAACAAGGTCAGTACTTAAGCTACAACAGCTGATAGTCTGTATTTAAGTCAAACCAACACTGGGTGCTAAAGCTCAACTGTGACTGAGACCTGACTTTTGTTAAAGTCCAACCTTTTACTGTGGTCACAGACAAACCAGTATTTGGTTGCAAGTGAAACTGGGGCAGATTTTGTTTTGAATTCCCAGGAAATACCAGGATGTATATTCTGTGTTCAAGCTTTTAGTGTCCATTGGGAAATTTTTGTCCTTCACTGACAGGAAGAAGGAAAACATCATTAGCGTGTCAGGGCTGCTGCTGTGGGATGTGGTGAAGGTCTCATCACCACCCCCAGTGCTTTCTAAAAAACACCTGCTGATCTGGCAGATCACCCGCTGACCCTGCAGACACCAGAGCACAACTAACATATCCACTATAGTATTTTGCCAGTGATAACGTTAGAGAGCAAGCTGAAGTTAGCCAGCCAGCTGCAAACCTGCCACGCTGAATAACATAATACAGCAACACCAGCCGATAAAGTAACCTGTAAATGGCAAAACAACCATATCAGCCCTTGGAGTCTGGATAAAGTTTGCTGACAGTATTTTGCAATGTTACCTATTGAGCAATTTGTTAGCAATCAAGCTAACGTTATACAGCTAAGAAGCAGCAATTCAGCAATACTGATTCCAAACAAAGATTTAAGCAGTAGTTTAGCTTTGACTTTGGACCTGCCTTGTGTTGTGGACTCTGTGTTGTGGACTCTGTGTTGGACTCTGTGTTGGACTCTGTGTTGTGGTGGGTGTCGGTTGTTTGTAGACGTTAGCGGACTCCATTTATAAGCTAACATTAGCTAGTGTTGCACACTGTTTAAACTGTAGGGAAGCGGAGAGAGAAGACACTTGGGACCCTACATAGAAACACACAGAAATCAGTCCACAGGCAGCAGACGAACAAAGCTACGCTACAACCCGTTCACTCACTGCACTCACACACAGATTATTATAGAGGCAGAACAGGATTCACAATCTCAAATATGGAACCTTTAAACCAAAATAGAAGACAACTGGTTTACATGAATGTATTGAATTATCTTTACTGTAATACGAATCTTATAATAAAGAAACCCACCTGCTGACTCCTAACAGGAAGTCGTCTACGTACAGTTTCAGTATTTGTCTCTGAAATCTTCAGATCAACAAGAAGGATTCTGATAAAATCCTATTTGTCTTATTATTGAACTATTGACTCCTCACTCTCACTCTCTCTCTCTCTCTCTCTCTCTCAGCCCAGTGTCAGGGGTGTCAGGGTTCCTCTCGGGCCGTCTGCTGAGAAGGTGGCAGTAATTGCCGTTGACGATTGTGATGTGGAGGTGGCGATTCGTTTTGGCAGCCGGATCAGAAACTATTCATGTGCAGCTCAGAGAGCTCAGACAGGACTGAAAAAGTGAGTGTGAGTGTGAGTGTGTATTGTTATGTAAATGTCAGTGACCTCATTCAGACGCTGCTTCTTTGTGTTTTACATCGGCAGAGTTTCTAGGTCAAAGGTCAAGGTACGTTATTTGTTCCTGTAGGTAGATTTAGTTTGCAGTAAAATAAATTCCTCTTGACAAAAATATCATAACAACAAATAACTCAGACAATACATATACAGATGTATATTAATATATATTTATATAAATAGTTTGATCTATGTGTAAGTGTCATGAACCTGCTCTAGTATTATGACAAAGGAGGGAGACCTTAATTAAACAATATTCACAGTTACAAATCTTCATCCGACACTAAAGAAAATGGTTCAGGAATCTGAGTGACCACATTAGCTACCGGGGTGTCAGCCCAAACTCTATTTCCCGCCAAGTCATTTCCAAGGACTATATCCACCCCATCCACAGGAAATTCTGGGCACACTCCAACTGCCACCTCCCCAGTGACCAACCCGCAACCTAGATTTATTTTATGCAGTGGCACATGGATAAGTGTCAGACCCATACCTAGCATCAAAACAAAATCTCCAGTGGCTGAATCTGAGGAGAAAGGCAGAACCGACTTACAAACAAAAGTATGTTTGACTCCTGTGTCTCTCAAAACAATTTACCCAAGTTAACAAATGGCACCAAAATAAACATTTCCAAAATGTTAAACATCAGGAAAGTCAAAAATCCAATTGCCACTACTACAACAAACTAAGCAAAACAATTAACTACCAAACTATTTAGTTTTTGACAAGCCCCACTTTGTCATGAACCTGCTCTAGGGTTATGACAAAGGAGGGAGACCACACAGATAATTTAAATGTTTTAAACAAAAATATGTTTTTTTTTAAGTATTTTTTTTTTGGCCTTTATGCCTTTATTTGACAGAGATAGCTGGAGAGAGACAGGAAAGGGGGGCAAGAGAAGAGGCGGGATGACATGCGCCTGTGGTATATCGGGTCGCCTAGCGTTCTACCGAACTGAGCTAACCAGGCGGCCCCAAAAAAGGAAGTTTAATTAGAACTATATTCACGGTCACAAATCATAATATGTATATGTGCGTCAGTGAGGTGCAGTAGTGTAGTGAGTGTGTGTGTGTGGACATGGGTGAAGTGTGTGGAAATAAGGTAAATGCATATCTGCCGAAAACCAAAGACAGCCAAACAAAAACCAAAGAAACCTGCTACGGGAAGAAGAGAGAGTGAGAAATGAATCAACAACAATCAGCCATGTTATAAAGAGCAACCAATGCAGGGGGCACCAGCAGGTGTACCCAATGCTAATGGCACCTCTGCCACTCCTATAAACTTGCCACTCCTGCCGTCTTCCTAATTAAAGGCGAAAAGAACCCTAGAACCAACCAAGAGGCCGGGAGGGGTCATCACAGTAAGTTATCAGATATGTATGCAATTGGTCCTTGGTCCTTGCAGGTCGTTGGATCTGACTGGACCGCGCTACTCGGTGGCCGTTCCGGATCTGCCAAGGAATTTTCTGTTGGGAGTCGAGACTTTGAGGGGCTTGGGCAATTAAGATCTGAACATCCGACCGACAGCAGGATTGGACATGGTTCCGAGTTCATTGCCACAATGGCACCATGCAGGTATTGACTGCATGTCTGAAATGCCTATCCTGGGCACAAAGTTAAAATAATTCTTAAATATAAAGAGGTCAGCAAGCAAAAATAAAGTCTGACATAATGGATAGCATTTCCCTGAGGCGTTTACTTGAACAAGTAAAATAACATCATCTCACCTGGGGGAGGAGAAAAGCAATTAAATCCTCTTTGTGAAGCAGTCAGATGCTTGCAGGAAAGCCAGGCCTGGTAACAGTTAGAAAATCGCACGCAAAGGAAGAGTTCATGCAGGGCTCTGGGTGGACAAGATGCACAGTTTCTTCTCCTTTAATACTGACCCTCAGGTTGTTATGGTGAAGGCAGGATTTCTGCAGAAAACGTTGGTGTCTGAAATGGAGGAGTTTGTGGTGAAAAGTGGAGTTCTTACCAGCCTGTCAGTGTCCGCGCTTGCTTTCGGAGGAAAGAACTGTGAAAAGGTGAGTTCAAGGTGTGATTGTTGTTCAAACCCCTCAACTGGTTGGGCTGTCTGACTCAGTCACTGTTTCCAAACAGTCATGGCAATCCCCTCCTGAAGTTTTAAACGGCGAGGCGTTGTGTGTGGATGGAGCCACGATGTGGACCATCCAAGCGTTTAAAAGGCAATGGTACGCGGGTCTTAATGTTCAGGACGAGACACCAGAGCCTGGAATCTCCATGCTGAAGGCCTGACGCTGGAGAATCAGGCCAAGGATTCATCTGCTGGTGAGGAAGACGATTTAACTGAAACTGTCGTCCTTTTTCCCCGTTTTTCTAAACTTTACTGTTGAAGGTTCCATTTTTCAGCATTGTGATCATAAATTATTTCATGTATGAATGACTTTTTATCAGAAAATGAGGTGAAAGTGAGTGACTTCATCTGCTGCCCTGGGATTATTGTTGGTTTCTATGTGGGATGAGGGTGCAGATTTCATTAGGGTTAGTTAGTTTTTTTTTTTTTTTTCTTTGTAATGGTAAGTTGTAAAGTGGAGCATTCTACTTGTTAGGCGCTTTCTAGTCTTCCGACCACCTCCAAAGTACTGTTTACACTGACGTGTGCCACATCCACCCTTTCAAACCACACATTCACACAGTGATGGCAAGTCCATCGAACAGAAACAAAAAACACATTCATACAAATTCACATGCACCTGCGACATGTGGCAGGAGGAGCCGGGGATCGAACCAACAACCTTCCGAATGGGGGACGACCCACTCTGCCTCTGAGCCACAGCCGCCCCTGCCGGCAACCTGGCAACCCGGCAACCCGGGTGGCGGGTGCCAGATAACATTATTCAGTATTGTTGCAGCTGACGTTAGCTTGTCTACTCACTAAAGTTATTGCAAAATACTATCTGAGTTAGCTTCCCCAGCTAACGTGATCCATGATACTAACTTGTGTATTCTGACAAACGTGTTGATTTAACAACTGACGGATTTAACAATGTTGACTGCAGTTCACTTAACGGCCACTGGTGGCACTGTTAACTACAGTTTAATGGACGTTACATAATAAACCTTTGACAGTGTGTGCTCAGGGGAATAGCTTCTTCTCTTGAGGCTTAATAACCAGTCTACCTGTCCTTGTCCAGGTCAGCAGCAGTCACCTGAGTTTCCAGGTGTTTGCAGGTGTGAAGGAAGTTGCTCTGCTGGACTTTCATCAGACTCGAGTCGATGACGGAGAGTGGCATCATGTCCTGATGGAACTGAAGAGCAGCAAAGATGGAAAGGACATCAAATACATGGCTGAGGTGTCTTTGGACTACGGCTTGTTTCAGGTACAAAGACTGAAAACTCTGTTACAGACGTCACTTATTTACAATCTGCTATAAATTCTCTACAGGAGAAACAAGACTCACTGAGACACCAGGTGCACCTAACTGCTCTGTTTCAATAAAAACAACCTGAAGGAGATACTTTATTATGAATAAAAGAGCTAAAAAGAGTCTCCTGTTGAAGAAGAGAAAATACCAACCTAATAACCAAAAGTTTAACTATTAATAAAGCAATTAGTTACAACCATTAACATTTATAAAGGTGGATGACATGACAGCTCACCAACAGTGATTCCAGACCCTCTCTATTTCCCCCTGGTGGCTAATCCATTCACTACTGTACAGACTCTGGCTCCAACAACTTATAAACCCTTTCTATATGGTTTGTTACGCTAAAACACTCAAATGAGTAGTGGCTTCAGACAGGTTCCCTGTGGATTAAAATCAGTGTAAGACCACACAGATGTTCTGTTTGCTGTTGAATTAAAAATAAATTAAAGGATTCCCGATGACGTCATCACAGTTTTTACTGTTGCCTGTTGTGCAGGCATCAGTGGAGATTGGTAACGAGCTGCCAGGCCTCAGACTAAAAAGTCTGTTTGTTGGAGGACTTATGAAGAACGGCTTGGTGGTGAACGGATGGAGAGGCTGCATCCAGGTGAGACCCTCACCTGTTTCCAGAGGAGGCAAAAGTACACATCCTTTACTTAAATAAAAGTGTAAAAGTACAGGTTCTAATATGTAGTATTTGTACTTCGTTACTTCCCCCTCTGCCTGTTTCATTGCAGTAAATATATACATAATAATACAGGAAGTTGAACTTTATGAACTCAATGAGCTTTTTGGAATTCTGGACTCGTTTCACATTTCGTTTTAATTCCTAAAAGAATGAACCAAACGTTGTAATAATCATTGGAGGTTAGATCTGATCACTGATCAATACGTCCTCAGGGTGTGAGGATGGGAGAGACGTCCATGAAGCTGGCAATTGATAACCTGCGGGGGAGTCAGATGGTCGGTGTGGGGAATGGATGTGATGTCATCGACTCCTGCAGCAATGGTGTCTGTCCGCCACACAGTCACTGCAAAGACCTCTGGGAACATCACACTTGCACCTGCCAACCAGGTGATTATTACCAGCCTGCTTATTGGTGAACATATTGATTGATGAGGTACTTGACACGGATCAAGTAAGTCCTTTTTTTTCCCCCCAGGATTCTTTGGGAGGAACTGTGTGGATGTTTGTCTCTTAAACCCCTGTCAGCACAACTCCACCTGTGTCCACCAGCCGAGCTCCCGCCGTGGATACTGCTGTCACTGTGGAGACGGTTACCATGGAGACTACTGTCAGCACAGGTAGGTCAGATCATACAGACATATGACCATATGAGATCATCAGGTGTGTGTGACCTGGATATATGATCAATGTCAGTATTGATCAGTTTTAATTGTTTTCTGTGGATTTTAGATCACAAGTGCCGTGTGCTCGAGGCTGGTGGGGGGGTCCAGTCTGTGGTCCTTGTACCTGTGATACTTCTAAAGGATTCAACAGAGACTGTAACAAAACTACAGGAGAGTGCAGCTGTAAGGTACTGAGACACAGAAGTATACATATATTCAGAGGTATGTACTTGTACACTACAGCAGAGTACTGTGTTGTGTTCTCAGGAGAATCATTTCCATCTGGAGGGCGGAGACTCCTGCCTCCCCTCCGACTGTTTCCAGCTGGGCTCTGAGTCTCGGGTCTGTGACTCTCAGATCGGTCAGTGTCTCTGTAGGACAGGTGTTTTGGGCGTCAGTGCAACACCTGCGACAACCCGTACGCTGAGATCACATCCAGAGGCTGTGAGGGTATGTTGATCAATCTGCATGATCTTTTTCTCTTCCTGCCTCCTTCCCGACCTGCTCACCAGGCCCCTCCTCATATGTTGCAGTGGTGTATGATGTCTGTCCGAGGGTGTTTGAATCTGGACTCTGGTGGCCAAGGACTCAGTTTAATCAAACTGCAGCTGTGAGATGTCCCCAAGGCTCCACGGGTAACAAAGTGTTCTGCTGTGTTATCCTATTTTTAAAGTGTTCAAACAGACCAATCAGAAGCACGTCATCTCTCTGACTCCGCCCTATCCTCAGGTACAGCTATACGTCACTGTGACGAGCAACACGGCTGGCTCCGCCCCCTCCTTTTCAACTGCACCTCAGTGAGCTTCAGACACCTACACTACCAGGTACTGCACTGCATTATACTGTATAATACTGTACTGCACTGTATAATACTGTACTGCACTGTATAATACTGTATTGCACTGTATAATACTGCACTGTATTGCACTGTATTACACTGTATAATACTGCACTGTATTACACTGTATAATACTG